ACTGTTATCAAGTTTTTTGGGAACCTCTTGTCCCTGTTCCCAAAGTTTTGAGCATTTTTTTGGGCCCATTATTAAGTTTGATTTTTACAATTTTTGAAAATGCTGACTTGGAAATTCCATGTCAAAGGTTTTTGCTGATTGGGACAAATGTGGGTTCCACGAATACCTTTACTCTTCTGTTAGTACAAAGAAAGGAAGCAAAACCCTTTCCGCGCCGTCGCCGGGGAAGAACAAGAATCGCGCCGCCTAATTGGAAAAATTCAAAACTGATTCGGATCAGCAACTTCATCAGAGTTGATGAAATCGGTCGCTGTCAATCTGCGTCGTCGCCATGACCTTCGCACTCCATGGGGGTCAGAAATTGCAGACCGAGAGTTCTTCTACGTGGTCTCGTTGCGGCTAAGCGGCGCATTGCGCAGTAACAATTTCGTGATTCTCATCTACATGACCCTAATGTTCTTCCTCATCCTGGGACTCGTCGTCTTCACCTCCTCGTTATTATCGTGATTTGGTGACTGAGGATGCCACTGTAAGGAGGTAAGTTATTTTTTTTATTTATATATTTTAATTAAATCTTTTTTCCTTCATGTGAAATTTAGTTTGATTTCTTTGATGAAATAACAAATAAGTGATATTGAAGTGCATAAAGTTTGGTAGTATAGGGACTAAAGTGCTTAAAGTTTGAGAGTATAGGGGTTAGCAGTGCCACTATCGCTTTTGTTGATGATGGCTGTGATTTTGTTCAATTATTCATCTGGCCTAGGCATTTTAGATTATTATGGTTGGAGAACTTTATCATGTTGAGATAGCATTTTAGTCTACCATGTTTTGATGGTTTAGAAGCTTAAAATATTGCCTTTTACATGTACACTCGGCCCGGCAGCCATTGTTTCTTTGATGGCATTTGGGATTGCAAATTCAAGAATAGCAACCATTCCATTTAATTTTAATCTAAACAGTGATTGTTTTTCCCTCTTGTAGATGAAAATGAAAGAACACTTATGGTCTTTATGTTGAAAAGTAAATTATAAAAACCAGTACTTGAGTGAGGAAAGCTGTTGTTTAGAAGCTGATATATATTTTCACTGATTTTTAGTGTCATGAACACAATATGGTCTAGTCTTGTAATGGTGGAAATGCTATAGAATTTTAGATAATTGAGCGGTTAATGTAATTCTTGGGAAAACCATGAAATGTATTGTTGTAGGTTTATGTTCAGATGAATTGAACTGCTGTCTTACTTTTTAAGTAAGATGTATACAAAGGGTTGTTTGTTCAATCATTGATGTCTTTTACTCTTTTTGACTTAGTGTAATTTTTCTTTATTTACTAAAAAAAGGATAAGAGAAAGAATGTTTGATTTATGTAATTTTTCTTTATCATTTATGTATTTAGCAGTTGTGTGTTAAAGTAACTGTTGAAGTAACTGAGACCAAGTATTTTAAATTTGCTATGACAGTTATGTGTTAGCAGTTCTCTTTATGTAATTTTGTGATTCACGCTTCATGGTGCAGTACTTTATTTTACAGTTAATTAACTTCCTTATGTTTCAGCAACTGACATCTATAAGTTGCTGTTTTCTTAGAAGTCTGATGTATGTTTGATGCTGTGTCTTTCTGATCAATCAGAATACAGTTTATGTATTTCATTTCTCAAGTTTAATCCTTGAGTTTATGTTTATTTCATGTTCATTTTCACTTAAGTTCTCATATTTACATCTTCACAAACATTAACATTCTGTCATCACAAACATTAACATCCTGTCATCACAAACTGGACTGAATGTTCAACCGTCAAATATGAATCCTTTTCTTCAGTAAAATCGTAACATGCTCCAGCCTCAGCATCTGAAACAAGAACAGCCAGAAAGATCTCGCTTTAATTAAGTTTTTGAATTGTTTTAGAATTTTATTTTTTAATTTTTGTCATTTGCTTTCAAAAATAATTTGATTAACAAAAACATTACTTAATAAAAATGTTTGCATCTTTATTTTGTTAATGATTTTAGCTTCCATGTATTGAATTTTATTTGTTTTTTCTTTCATATTGTTTAATTTATTAAGATGAAAAAGATAATTTCTAACAAGCCTTTTTTTTATAAAAAAAAAAAGAGAAAAATACACATTAAAAAAACTTTTAAGAGATGCTTAACCAACAAAAATCAAATTAACTTAACACATCAAAAAGAATACATCATAGCAGATATCTTTTTCTTATGAAGTATACATGTGAGACAGGTGGCGCAGAGGACACATTCTTGATGGCAAAGCAGATCAAACCATATGGTATCACTGTTGTTGTAATTTTCCTATCTTTTTTCTTTTTTTTTTTGAAGGGTACGTGGGATAGTATATACACTAAAATAATACTTAAGATACTATATGCTAGAAGTGCTAACTTAAGATACTACATGCTAGAGGTGCAATGCCATAGTACTTAATAGACTCATAAAAGATACAGAAAGAATACCAGAGTGATCATCTTTCACTTGTTGAAGCTACTTTCCACCCATTCCTCTGCTATTCCTTGCTTATTGGATGAGTATCTCTTATGTGTTTTAAGCCAAATGACCTAAAAGTATACTGATTTACTGTACACACAGACAGGCGTGCACAGGTATAATAGCCAAATTATAATTTAATAGAAAGTAGGAATAGTCCTAACCATCTTTAGTGTTTTGCATTGTCCCACAAAAATTAAAACAAATGATGGCACATACACGGTATCATAACTATAATCTACAAGCATAGAAGTCCAGAAAAGAAATGTCATAGATGAAACAAAAGCTTGAATACAAAGATGTCCCCACAGTTGCCAAGAGCATTTCTCAGCACCCAGATGAAGGTTCTAGCAGAAGATCATAAAAGCACACAAATCTACCACCACAACCCACTAAAAACAGGAACTTTAACAAAATAATAGCAAGGATTTAGCTAACATTCACAGAGCCAGCACAATCTCAATTAAACAAACTAGAAAAAAAGCAACAGATTGAACCTTAGTGATTCAGAAAAGGAAAATGAAAACTAGAACTGACCATCTTGGAACTGAAACTGAAAACCCTAAACTGGTCGAAGGAGAAGGGCAGAGAGACAGTTCAAGAGAGAAGCTAAAAGTTGATCCCTTTCTCTCTTTAAAACTCTCCCTTCAGAACTAGAGACGATTTCGAAGGGATAATTTCAGCCTTTCAGGTGGGTTTTGAAGAACACGGTCTGAGCAGATTGTTTTTGAGGATATTTTTTTTAAAATTATCATTTTTATTTATTTAGTTTATGTTAAGCGGCGTCGTTGTGCTCTGAAAGATATCCAAAAAACCCCAGCGTAGAAGTTCGTTCCTTTCTCTCTGCAAAATCCAAAACCCTAGCTTCAAGTTTCAGCTTTGATTTGAGTATCTAAGTTTCATAGGAAGATCCTATGAAAATTTCTGTAAATTTGGATATTAAAAAATCAGAGGAGAATGGATATTAAAAACCAAAGAAATCGTTAGAAATCCGGAATTTTAAATATTAGATTGAGAACTTCTATGCGGTAATCACACTGATATAATTTCTGTAAATTTGGGTTATGTTTGTGGTTTAGTCAATCTCTGCTGGTTGGAAGCTGGGTTGACGATGATGATTTGCCAGTCATGAGTTTATTTTTTGCATGTTTATTCTGTAAAGTTATGTCCTCTCTGATGCAGACTTGATTTAGCTTCCTGAGCATTGGATCCTTCCATAAACTTAAGTGAATATGTATATTATGTGGTCTGTTGCTGGTCTTCATTGATGTTCAAGCAGTTGTATTTTATCTTTAGGTTTAATCCTTCATTGGCATACTTAAAGAGTTCAGAAGGTTAGATTTCATGGTGTCTATTGGATTCCTTTCTTGTCTGTTCAGAATGTGTCTTCTTTAGTTTCAGTTAAATTGATTGCAGCATTGAAATCTATCCTCATCTTAGGTTGTTTCGAGTTTCAGTCTGCTGTGTAGTTTTGGGTTGATTTAATGGTGAAACTAAAGTTGAATAGGCATTGTCTTTAATCTCATTTGTGAATAATGACAATTTTCATCGGTTTTGCTATCTCTTTGGGGTTGGCTTTTTGGGTTTTGATTTGAATCTTTATCATGTTCTATAGGATTTCCAGTATAAACCACAAGCTTATTTAATTGTGCATTTATTTGCCATTCAATTTGGGATTGGGGCTCTGGCTGCATTTGTCTTTCTCTTCAAGTAAAACTTATTTCTTCTGTGCTTTATTTTTTTAGTTGTTTTTTGTAATGAATCAAACTATTCATTCTCTTTCACATCTCATAGTCACCTCATTCATTTGAAATTCTGAATAGGAGAGTCTTTCTCCTTCTAGTCTAGGGTTTGAGAGGAGGCTTTTTGTCACCTCAAGGGAGGAAAATAAAAAATAAAAAATAAAAAAAATAAAACAGAAGGCACAGTCTTTAACAGAAATGAATAGGTGTATATATGACTTGTCATCTCGTTTGCATTGGTGAATTTTTGTCAATATTATGCAGTGTATTTTTCGCTTCTGCTATAAATCTTTCTGGTATATTATGCAGTGTTATGATTCTTGTGAAGAAAGTAGAAAAGAAGTCAGAGATAGTAAAGGGAGACTGGGAGAGGGGCTTTAAGCTTGGTTGTTTGAATGATTTTTCTTACCAAGATCTGACTGTCTAATTTCTCATTTGTCTGATGGATGTTTTAGCTTAGTGAAGCAGAACTACCTGCAAAACTGTCAAGCAGAGGTTGAGATGGAAGTTGTTCCAAGAGAGGTTGATAATGCTTTGTCTGGTCCAAGG